TCTTTTTGAACTTTCTTATTATCTTGACTACAATTTAATAGTTTTTTATTGCATAACTCTTCAGCAATCATTCTGACTGATTCATATTTAAGGTGAGTAGCGTTGCTCTTCAAAACTATATTCGATGTGATCAATCACCCTAATCTTACTATCAAAGAGAGAATAACAAATCCTTTCACATCTACCCAAGCTGAGCTAGATTGTTTAAACTGCATAAAGAAGTAATTACTTATTCTATACTCTTGTATTGTACTGATTGGTAAATTACCTCCTCAGTGTTTAGCTCTAACTCAGCGCATAACTGGTCAATGGCCAGGGTAGGATCCTTGGGAGGAGTGACTTGGTGGTATCTGCCACGAATTATGAGACCAGCATCAGGCAATGACCTAAAAGACCACAAGCGTTTATGACCGAATAGTTTTTGCTGGAATGAACCAAATTACCTCAACGACCCCCTCATGTTACCCCGATTAGAGAAGCTTGACACACTCTGAAATGCAGACGGTGATGGCCGTAGTGCATCTTCAGATATGACGCTACCCTGAGTTTGGAAAGGTTCCTAAAAATGGAAAGTGTTGCGAACTCATGAAGAAAGATCTTTGATTCTAGTCTGTGAGCAGTGTAAACACCAACCTGTGATCCAGATCGCCAGGTGTTAGTATTAGCACAATCTTTTCGATCAGACACATGGTCGAATGACGATACACGTGGTATTGAAGGCACTTCCAGTTCAACGGGGAAGTGTCTTAGACTGGAAAAAATGGTTTAATACTTAAGAAATATAGAGATATGCGAAGATCTAAGAAATATTTTTGCATAAAGCGAATGTTTACCCGCTACTTTTTGCTGGTGGAGCATAGACCGGTTGAGGACGGCAAGGTTGTGGCCTTATCGGCGCCGGCTTTTCCAAGGAGGCCATCTTTGCAACGCTAAAAAAACAATAAATCCATTCAAATGAAAGTTAAATTTTCTATGTTGAAACCTCTCAAAGAAATTTGCTTGCACAAAGTGAATTTTCTTGAGAAAAATATACTTGCATAAAGTGAGTAGATCTTAAAGAGTGCAACGAACAGTGGTCCCCATTTATAGGTCACAATTCCTTTTTTATATCAGCCAATAAAAGGCTAAATAAGGGTTGAAATCCCCTACTATTATTGCTATCTGTGGTCTTCTGCTTTATATATGTTCTCAAAAAATTCCTCACTATTTATTCAAAATTAGGACGGTGAGAGACAGATATTGTGTGGTCATTCACCTCTCCGGTTTGAGGCAAAATGATCAATTTTTCTGGACCAACCAACATACGTAAATGCTGCTTTTCCTAGCAGAATGATTGATGTCGCCTTTCTCAAAATTTTGCAAGCATCCGCAAATTTTATGTATATTATCCCACAATCGATTTTCTGCGCTCAATTGTATTTAATGTAATACTTATCCATATTGTTTCTATAGAACAATGTCGATAATAGCTAGCAAACTCGCCAGTAGTCTATATGTCTAACGGCTCCAGATTTTTTTA